GTAAAATCCAAATAAAGTAGATTAAAAAAAACAAACAAACAAAAAACCCCAACAAAACAACAAAACAAACAAAAAAACCCCAACCACCACCACCACCACCACAAAACAAAACAAACAGTGCCGTATCCTGCATATAAGGGAAATAACTTGATAGTTATTGAGCAAGTTAGTAGGGCTTGATTATGGTCAGAATAGCTGAACAGAATGTTTCTGATCAGTGTTTTAAATTAATAATAAAAAAGTGAGGAAGTAGTATAAATAAATTCTAAAAATATCCCCTCACTTATTTTAATAAATAAAAACCAACTGCCTAATTGTGAGAGCTGGAGGAGTTAATAGTCTGTCTGCCCAGAGATTTCTCAGACAAATAGATCTCACAGCTAATAAACTTCTGATGTGTTTCAGTCCTGTCTCCTATGGATTTCCATGGTATTAAGCTCTATTCCGTACGTCTTGTCATTGTGTTGATAAGTGAGGTTTGGATCATTCAGTTACAGCTGGGTTATGTGTAACTCATAATGGTTAGTTGTTGGGACTTCTTTGTTTTTCTATTTAAACTAAGTGGAAGAAACATAGGAAGGGGCTTCTGAAATGACAGAAAAATTCTTATGCAAAGGTCCTTTGCGCTTTCTTCCTCATTTACAAAACAAAACACATTTTAATGCAGTCCTGTATGCAAGCAGTTCACTGGGACCATCCCCAAAATAAAATGCACCGACACTAGCATATACTCAACGGAGGATACTGGGGAAACATCAGTAGATCATAAGAGAAGGCAATTTAAAAAAAAACAAAACCAAAAAACTAGTGCCTTCTTTACAAGTATATGCAATTTTAGTTGTGATCAGAAGGGCAGTGCGTACAACTGAACTTAGGCAAAGCTTTGCTAGCTTGTGCTTAGAGATTTCCCTTCACATAAAAAAAAGAAAAAAATGTTACTTAATAATTTCTAGCTTTTAATAAGGAAGCAACAAAATGAAAATAACTTGTCCAACAGAAATGTTAACAAATGTATTAAGATGTGTTTCCCTGTCTTGCCTTGTTGGCAGATCCCGCTGTGGGGCCATACAGGGAATTGAATCAACTGATCTGTCACAGGACCTTGTAGTGGTACAACACGTGGGAAGGAGAGAGCAGGAGAGAATTAGCAGTTGCATGGGGAGAAGGCAGAACTACTTATTTTCCCTCAAGAATTATAGAAAGTAATTTTTTCCTATGCTAATCTTTGTGTCTATGTTGTTGTTTTCCTATGTCAGAAGGGCCACTAAATGCATGTAAATGTTCGATGACAGCATTCGACGTTCTGGTACTTCCTATCTTTACTTTTTTTGGTTTTTTTCCTGTAGTAGTAAAGGAAAATCTTTTCCTGTATCACAATAATGGTTTTGCCTTGATATATTACATGTATATGAAACAGTGGTGCATAGCCTTATTTTCATCCATGAGATGTTTTCCTTCCAGATTAAAAAAGAACCGTGTCTAAATGATATGTTTTCCTTACAACACATACATCACTGTTTTAGTGTGAAAACACAGAAGTAGAAAAAGCAAAGCATTTTAAAAAACCCAAAAAATCCCCTAGTGATTGTATTTGCAGCTGCTGGTATTCAGTAAGGTGACTAGCATCCATGGATGTTTTATGTATATACATGTATACTTCATATTTCTGAGAGAACTCTCCACTGTGAGGTCCTTAACTGGAGGATTTGTTTGCTGATGAGATTTGCCTTTTCTATATGGAAACTGTTGCTTCATAAAACCAGAAGAGAGACAACAACGCACAAAATAAATTCGAGGATATTCTGCTGAAATTTCTGAAAAATTTTCTTCCTTTTTGAATTGAAATACAGTGATACTGAAGTTGGTTACACATGGTACAGTTACTTCTCTTAATCCTTACTATACAATTAATTGATTACTGAACTGATCTGAGTGCCAAATAGTTTGTACTATAATTAGCTGCAATTTTCACCAATCTAGTTGTTTTTATGCAAGAACAGATGCTCACTGCAGTACCAAAAAGCCTGGTTATTTTGAATGCATTGATGAGAAAAGAAGTATGTACCACCAGTAGTTTTGTTAGAAAAAAAAGAAGGACATTTACAAAGTTATACCAACTGTATGAAAAGTTTAAGTAGTAGTAAGTCTTTACACTCAACTGAGGAAGATTAATTTTGTCATTTGCGAGGTGAGGAGGGACTATACACAGTGCCCTCACTTTCCCCAAATACTGCTAGTTGTGGACTCTGCTTAATTAACCTACCAGTATGCCTCACGCTTTAAAATTGATTTTCATTTGCATGAGACTGACGTACTACTTTTCCTTTCCAGGAGACAGATAAATAACTATGTACTAGTAATGGTGACGTTAAATACTTTGTGGACTGGAGATGAAGTTTAATAAGCTGCAGAGGTGAAGTCTGAAAAGCAGTAGAGAAACTGAAATGGACACAAAGTTCCAGTTAAGTTTGTCATTTTTGCATTAAAAAAAAAAAGACATAATTGTTTAGAAACATATTCCAAGCTGAAGACATGAGTTTATTGAATGTCTGAGACATTTGCATTTAAATACAGTAAAAAAACAAAAAACAAAAAAACCCCACCACCACCACATCCCAAACAGTTTACTATGTAAGAGTCTCCAGTATTCTTATAACATGGCTTACAAAAAAGAAAATACTACATCTAAATTTGAAGGTCATCTTCCACTTAAAGTACGCACAACTAGAGAATCACTTCATAAAGAGTTGTAACTCAAAGTGAGAACAATAAATTACTAGAATACAGTTTTATTAAAAGCTTGATTTCCATGTAAACTTCCGTCAGGCAAGAAAATAATTTGTTTCTAGTAAACAAAGTATCTAATCTCTGGCAGTTAGCTGTGTCTTTTAACATAGAATACACATCTGGCTATGGAAATTCCCTTAAGAATTACATAAGTAGCTGTACAATGTTTTTTAAAAGTCTGTTTTCCTCAAACTGTGCCTATTTTTCCTAGTAAACTACTATCTAACTACTACTGGTTTTAATAGATCGTCAACAAGTGTAGCAGTGTTAAAGAGTACTGAAAGCAACTTAATTTATTCAAATTTCATGCATCTTTTGGCTTGAAGTGGGATTTTTTTGATGCAAATTAGTTATTTAACAGGAAAGGAAAGTATTATGCTCTGAGAGATAGTTGTAGTTTCTGTTTAAAATTCCTGTGGAGGACAGAAATGGATAATACCACACTTCTATTAACAGCAGCTAAAATATAATATTTGTATTAATTATTTTACCCATTAAAACACTTCAAAGATATTATAATTAACAGTAGGAAATAAAGGTATTTAAGTACCATAACTGAGAAATAGCTCATATTAATCATATTCAATAACAGTACTCAAGCTTTAAAATCTGAAATTTCCTAAAAAACACAAATAAAAATTAGTTTAATAACTCTACTATGGATTTATGGAAAACAAAGCCTGCTTTTCGTAATTTAACCTATTAAATATGGCCTGCTTATACTTCAATAAAAGAATGTCAAACATCACTCTGAGCAGCATTTGAAGCATTCAGAGCTTTAAAAAATGGCCACACTATTTGTATTTTTATTTAATCCAAGCCTTACTGATAAACAATACAACTAATCATAACAAAATTAAGGTCATTTGCAGTTTACCATTAAATACAGCAGAGCCAAACCTGAATTAGAACTGTGTCACCTAACACATTCCTTTAAAAATCAATTCTTTCATAATTCTCAATGAAAATTTTAAGAGATCTTTCATCTTTCTTGCCTGTCAGGCAAATCACTATTTGTGCAAATTTAAATACAGTACATTGACCATAATGTAACAGTGGACTGATAGTGAAGGAAGAAGTGTTCAACAAATCTGCTGCACAGTAAGACTTTTTCAGAGTGCAGAGTACGTCTACAATAAAGTGCTTCTCTTAATAAGTTACGTTGATATGGTATAGATGTTTGCCTAGTTTTAAAGCTTAAGTTGCTTAGTAAATAGTTTCATCTCCCTGTACCTCCCCAGTCCCACAAGGCACATTCAAAACACAAGCAAAGCACTAACTAACTGTGACGGATTAAGCTACAATAAAAAGTTCTAAGTGGTAGTAAACTACTGACTAGGTTTGTAAACAGTACCATCCCATTGAATCTCAAGGTTCATGCGTTATTGAAGTGAGTTTCTGTGGAAGCAGCTTTTGAACTCCAACTTCAACAATCAAGCCAGCTTTCTTGATAGTACACAACTGTGCCTTAGCATCTTGATGTGGAATCCCACTTTTTTTGTCACTTGCACGAAAACAGATGTCACATTTGATGCATTTAAGCCTCTAGACTTCAATTCAGTTAACAACTGATCACTGGCTGGTTTAGATCTATTTAGTATTTTTTTTTTTAAATGCATGTGAAGTTCACCTCTACTGTTCAAGGTTACAATGAAGTGATGCTCAGTACTCTTAAGAGAAGGTTTTGGTTATATTCAAACATAGCTGGGCTGTTTTGTGGAAGCCTTAATTTTGACTTGGTATTCATTTTGACTTGATAGACGTAAATAGCTTCTGTAAGACTAAAATGGCAGGTAGGATCAAATTGAGTAATTAATTTCTTCAGGTTCATTTAAGACCAACTTTTAGAAGCTTCTTTAGAGAAGAAGTTACAAAGTACATCACCACAAGTGATCTCCTGTATAAAATACTGAAATGGGACTCACTTAATCATGCTTCCAAAAACGTTTCACACAACTTGAAAAGCAAGTAATTCCACTAACATCAGGTAGAGCTTACCAAAACAGTCCAAGTCCTCGCACAAGGTATACATAGCTAAACATTGCCTTCATACCACAGAGAGCGAAGCTCTGTGAGCAAGAGGCATTCCATTACTTTTAAAAAAAATATTACATTGAGTTCACTTTGGCTTTCACAACTCTTGCAACAGAGCAAACACCACCAGAAGTATCAATGCCAGAGCTCCAAGTTTTCCTCTTGTTTGTCATTCTAATCTAGCGTTTTATCACCACCTGCTCATATGCTCCAGATCCTACTCTGAAAGAATGTTTGAAAGAAGTTAGTTCAATTCCAATTTAAACAGAAGCTAAACAGCAAGTATCACATATCAGCAAGTTTACTGTTTAAAAATACCCCAAACAACCACACCCCCCCAACAAAACCCCCCCAACCAAACAGCTAGTACCAGAACAGCTAAATGTGAAATGTAGAAAACGTGTAATTACCATGCCACTGAGTAACCTACAGTTCAATGCATTAAAGCGTTTTGTGTTATACTACAGTCAAAATGAAGAACGATAAATAACATGACTGAAAAAAGTTGCTGTTGGCCTTCTCTATAGTTCCCCTAAACACTATCTTTTGGGTACCCCTCCCACCCCAGCTACATCATATCCAGCTAATACTTTTTATATACATTTATACATAAATAGATGTCTCTTAAAAAACCATAAGTTACAGTCTTCTTACGTTAAGATACAAGAAAAATGTCTTCCAGTCTCTTGTTCACACTGAATTGTGAATGCACAGTTACCAAACTGTCTCGCCCCACATAGTGGGTTGTTTTACATGGCAAATTGCAGTACCCTGTGAAAAATTAATAGGGCAAAGCTCTGCCTTAGTATAATATTCTGCCTGGACTGTTCTGGCAACTGAATTAGGACAGATCTCCATATAGTACTGTAGTGTGCTCTGTAACCACACACGTTATCCTAGATAGAAATTAGTGTGCCCAGTCTGCAAATAAGCCAATGAATTATCTTTTAACCATTGGTATTGCTTGCTTGTGTAAAATGTATTTGTTTTATAACTTTCAGCACATTATCAGCTGCCTTTATACCTAATTCCAGAAGTACTTGCTTAAATTGCTGAAATAGCGATGCTATGCTACTTTCATGAGATAAAGAAAAATCTTAAGAGTTACTCTGGGCTGCAGAATCATGGTATTAGAGGTTATTCTTACCTGGTTTTAATATTTTCTCATCTGAGAAGACTCTAATACATTCAGGTCAAGTCATATATCAGAGTATTTGAAGAGAGTTTAGAGAAGAAAAAAATTTCCCCGGTTCTAAAAAACTACAAGAAGATAATCTGAAGTAGATTATCAAAGGAGAGAGTTTAGGGCTACAAATAGCTGAAAGATGAACAAGCCATTGAAACAGGAATAGCATAGTGTATGGAAACAGAAGGAGTTACGAGCAAAACTGAAGTGGAGAAAATTAGGCTTGTTATCAGGAAGACGTAAAAGTTCGATACTGTAAAGGTGGATGTGTAAAACACTTAAGACTTTCTTCGAGCTCCAGAGAGTAGCACAGTAAGTCTGTAGAGCTAAGATTTCAAACTGGTGCCTGTTTCCCATGTCCATACTGAAACATTGCTCGTATCTGAAAACTTTGGAACTGAGACTCTTCAGAACCTCCAAACTAACCTATGTGTTTTGTTTTAAAACCTGATTATCTAGTTCTTTTGGTGCCTTTAAATGATACAGAACAGAAAGATACAAAGATCAAGAACGTATATACAGAATAATTGCTGTATAAGGTGCATTTTTGTTTAGGCTACATACCTGTTAGGTAGATGATGGCTTCCAAAAGAAGTGCTTCCACCAGGGCCCACAAATAATCTCAAACCTTCTTCTAAAAAAAGCAAGGGGATTAACATATGTTAGCTTCCTTTAACGTTGCCCTAGCTAAAACTAAGTCATTTTAAATTTACCAGTTTTGTAACTGATACTTTCAGATGTTTTAAGTAAGGAAGAACCAAACTTCACATGATACAGGTTGGAGGAACTACCTTCCTTGTAGGTTTGCCCCTGCTCTTTTCTTTTCAGGCTTAAAGTAATTCTCTGGGAAAGCTACCCGAGTCATGCAAGGGTCTTTTCAACTTCTGAGAGACAGGATGAAGCAGAAAATGTAGTGATCCATATGCCCAGTCCTTATGATTAAAAGCAACAGGGACTATGAAGAGAGTGGATTTTCCTGAGGCCTGTAATGTGGATCAATTTTCCTGAAGCTTCCTTATTTATCTCCATACCTTCTGCACTTGAGTCTAAACTGAAGTCTTGACTCTGGAGTATTTTTTCAACTATATCATCAGCATCAACTCTGGTAGCATCGACCCTCTTCAGCTGTGACTCCACAGAGTCTTGCTTTACAGGACGTCTGCAAAAATAAATTTATTTAGAGCTCTTAGAAGTGATATAGTAAATTATGTTTTACTTCTGCTAGATAAGGCTTTCCAAGTTAAGTGTACCTGCAGACTTTTTCTGATGGCGCATCTTTAACAGACACATCAACATCAGCTTCAGTTACGTTTGGCTCAGTCTCTTCACATGGCTCTAGAATACTTCCAATTCCTGTTGAGGTACTACCCACCGAGGTGTTCCTCCTGTGGCAGAGTTCAGACAGACTGGATGATCTAGAGTGACATGTGCTGTATCCTGTTGGGAAAGTGCAGGAGAGCTAGGTTAGGTATGTTGTTGACAGCCAAGGTCATGACTTGTATTTTACCATCCTGAAAGCAGAATTTGTGTTTTGTCTTCTTATGACGAGACTTTGAAAGCCTTATGACTGTATGTGCATACACCAGCTAGGCAATTTACTTTGGGTTTTCTATTCTAGCACATGCTGTTTTCTTTTTGTTCTAAGTAACTCTTGCTTCCTAATAAATATAATGACTTGGTGTCATGACTTCCCTTTCAGCTTTTAGAACTAAGTCTCCATTTGTAAGTTACTTGTTTTTACAGATGGAAGAGGTAAAAATCTCATTCAGATATGTTAATTGGAGGGAGCTAAGGGAAAAAGCTGTCTCACATCTGAAAAGATAATTCATTGTGCTTTTAAGAGAAAAAAAAAAAAAAGTTACCCTCCCCAGACCTGATACTCCTAGGCAAAAGCTTTCAACTTCAAACTGTTTTTTTAAACATATAAAGTATACTTATTTTCTACAGTCTAAAACTGTGAAAGTAACTAAACCCCAACAATTCATAACAAAATTGTTAACAGCTACCTGACAGTTTTGACTGCTGACTTGCATAGCTTGATGTTCTGGAATGTCCACATGCACCAAGTTCATCTGGGACTGAGGCACTCTTTGGTGAGACATCTGCAACATGTGCAAGTCAGATAGTGTTGCTAAAGCCAGTTTTGTTATTACTTTGTCTGTAATCTTGATTAGACTCAAATCTCAGATTTCCCAGAGGGACTAGGGACTTGACACTGGTTTTCTACAAACCCTTTGAAGATTCAAGTGCTGCAAAAATACCATGTATGTTAACAAATATGCATTCCTTAAAAAAAAAAAAGAATCATAATACGTTTCTGTATGAGTAAAACACAGAATACCATTGGGTTAGAAAGAATTGTATGAATTGTAGTTTTAGATTTGTCTACATTGTAGACATTAAAGAGATCACCATGCTTTCCATAGTACCATAGTAGCATGGTGTGCTAGATGTTTTGTGGCTGAAAAAGTAACTATGGTTAAGACAACTTAAGCTGTGTTTAGGGTGGAAATTAATAAGCTATGTAAGAGCCTGAAGCTTGTAGAACAAACCAACCAGCCCCGCCCCCCCAACCCAGCAAAACCCCCCAAATTTCAACCTGTAATAAACTGGTTTAATAGTTTGGTTTTTTTCCTAATAGTCTAAATTTCAGAGTAACTTCTTCAATTTTAAACAATACTTAGAACTTTTACCACTCAAAATTTACTCAGTTATGCATATCCCTATGATTCGTAAGTTGAAAATCAAGGGCCAAATTAAATGGTCAGTCAAAATAAAAATCCAAAGCAAATCAAGAAATCTGTCACACAGATTTAATTTCCATTAAATAAACTGTTACAAAAGCAAAAAAGAGAGATTCCACTGATGTTATCTAGGAGAGTGTGTCTCAACAAATAACCAAAGAAGGTCCCTTTGTGGGCCAACTGTCAGCATTCCTTTAAGATTTGAAGTATTTCATATGTCTCCTTGAAGCTATGAAGCCAGTTACAAAAGAACTGAGAAATTAAGAGCATTATTTTTATTTTATACCTGCTGCGCCCAGCTGTAATACTTTTAAGTTTTCTCCACCTTTCCTGTCTTCATGCAAAGATTCTGATTCTCCAGCAATTGCTATAGACATTGCTGTGGAAGGAGGCCTGTAAGAAAAAGGTGGTTAAGAGTTGCTGTACTTTTGCTGTAATCCTTCCAAATTGATCAGCACAGATTTTTCTTTTCAAGTAAGTTGGCATAATTCACACTGTGCTTCAAGTTAATAGGCTTGTAACTTTGTTTTGAAAACATGCTGCCTAGCCCCCTGTTAAAAAGAAAAAAAAAAAAGGAAAAAAAAAAGGAAAAAAAAAAAAAAAAGTTTTTGCTTTTTGGCTTAAGGATTTTTTAAAAA